TTTATGACTATTCTAGGTATTCTTTTGTTTGACGTCCTTCCTGCACAAGTCGAGGGCTCTACTTCGTCCGATGTATCCTCTGAGAAGAGTGAAAGTTTCTTCTTGCTTGATGTGTCAGGCTTGGCACTTTGGCCTGAGTTGGCTAACAATTCATACCTTTTTTCAGTGGGTAGAGGTTTATTCCTCTCCTTGAATTCCCTTGACCATCTGGAGGTTTCTATGTTTTCTCTCATAAATTTCCCTATGGGTGTAATTCAATTGATATCTGAGAATATGGAATATGGTCATATGCACTAAACCTCTCAATTTTCGAACTATAGAGTGTCGATAGTTCGATAGTTTTCTCATCATTTTCAATACTGCTCAAGATATTTCCATGAAATTCGACATACACAAACTGAGCACCATGTGGTAGTTTATATGTAAATTGTATCTCTGTCAAATCTGAATTCAAGTAAAATCAAATAATTGTATGAGCGCCATTAGAATTGTTGCGAAATTCATGAGAATTCCAAGAATTATTTCTATTCACGGAACAAAACAAGGGCGTACCATATTTTTTCGATAAATCGTCATTGTAGAAATGGTAGAAGAATTGAAAAATCTCCTGCACCAAAGAATACCTATTGGTGCTTGGTAGCTGCCTGTCAAATTTGATTTGAAAATCTAGAACAGTATTGACGTTATAATAAGAAAACGAGATATTTCGTGAAATCTCAACACCCTATAGCTAAGGGGTTCAGGGCATATGTTCATATGAATATTTCATCTAAGAATTAGCTGACAAACCACATCCTATATTCTGAGCAAACAATTTATATACACCCTAAATGAATTCATTAACAAATCTCAAAACCATGTGAAGATAAAGATAATATTATTAACTCGTCTGCTCCTTCAGTTTTGTTGGTTTGACGGTTTGACTGAATAAGGCAAATTCTTATTGTGGCTATGATGGCATCATTTTATACTTAGCAATCGATACTCAGTCAAAGGAAGATGACTGAAAGAGAACTATATATTTCACAAAAAGTGAATCCTATAATGTTCTCGCACATCGTGCGTACCTAGGGAGGATAGGGAGAGGAGGTATGTGTTGGAATTTTATGTAACATGTCCTTGGGAATCTACTCAACCTATAACATCAGTAGTTATAATTGCAGCATGCTGTTTTTGTTTGTTTTGTCAACTATGTCATTGTTGTCTTATGAAATATTATCATTACTTACACGAATGTGAAACACCTTCACCAAAAATGTGAGTTGATTACTATAAAGGACACAAGACATAAGCATAGTTTCAATTCCCCAGAATATCCACACCAATGCTTTCACCATTTCCCAACGATAAGGCTCAGCCTGAATTCAAAATTCATCAATTTATAGGTCCAGTCTGAGAACAGTCTCATTCGGTGAAATATATTCAATTTCCACTCATCATACCACACGACATCACTACTTATTACCACAAATTTCAACCAGTACTGTTTCAGTTGATGTAAAATGGATCATACCCATTAATTCTCTAATGCCGTGGAAAAAAGTGTAATTCTGATTCACATAAATCGATAGAAAATACACTATATTGTACCAGCACAATGAAAGTGCAACATACCAACGTATTAAATGATCGAAACGACAACGAACATGCACTTAGTCATCACCAGAAATGGTGCCAGCAGAATGCCATCGATTATATCAATGGGCCATTGAATCGTCAGCAATGTGTTCAATATGTTCTCCTACACTCGATTCATCTAAGCTACCGTATGAGCAGCATAGTACATTAAGATATTCAGTTTCACACTGAATTTCCTTTGGTGTGAATTGATGAATATTATGTCTCATACACATTATCCAAATCCATTACCTACACCGAGAAAAATATCAATGAGCTGTTATATGGAACTGCATATAACCTTCAAAATAGGTATTCCTCATTTGAATAGGCGCCAGCATAGTTCCCTTTCCACTTTAATCAATTACATCATATCAAAAAAATGATATAAATGACAATTATATGGAAATTAAATGACTCTCATATAGTGGTCAGAAGTTTTGAATTTCAATATCAAATAGTGATATTATAAAATATGAAATATGGTGTGGGTTGAAGATCGCCAGGAAATATTGAAAACATATTTACTCATGGTATATATATTCCCACCCCAAGTAGAGTTTTTAATTGGAACTACAGGGCATTGAAGAGCATCACGAGGGGGAGATACTCAGTACACAATATCTCGATTTGCCTAAAATAAAAATGTTCTTAATTTGGAGTATTTGTACTTCTTGTCACTACCTTGGAATATCAGTTTACTTATTGGCAAAGAATTTACACAGTGGCGTCAGTTCAACTTCCTGTAGTTCCTCAACAAATCCTTCACTTGGGGGGCATATGAACAGATATGTCCCTTGCATTACGAGACGAACTTTGAAAAAAAATTGTCACCCTGCAAGAAGGGTTCAAGAGCTGCTGCCGGCTTATATGCTCTTGCATATCAGGTATATCCGGAGACGACGAACGATTCTAATGGAATAAGTGAGTGAGACGAACCATTGTGGTAAACGAGTATGATAAAGATGATGGTGATTGAAAAATGGATGGGACTCACATTATACTTGTATAACTGTGGAATGATATCTTTCAGGATTCAAATGATGACCGTTTAATCTCCATCTTTCAATTATAATCGTGTTCCCTTTGAAATCTATAAGTTTTCGTTTTTGAAACAAGTAGAGCGATTTGGCAAGGCGACCTGTTTCACGTTGAGAACGTTGACTTCCCACGTTCATCATTTTTTTGGATAGAGACTCGTATAACTGGATTTTTCTAGGTGTATATGAAGCATATAATCTCTAGTATCCACTTGAAAATGAATCAACTATATATGAATCAATTCACATTAATACGAACTCAACGAAATGAAAACATTATTCCACAAACAACCACAAAGTACACATGTGCCCATGGATGTGTCTAAAAGTCGAGAAGAAAATTTTTATTTCTCGAAAATAAGAGATGATAACAATTTTCTCCTCTCCCTATTGCTCGCTCCTCAAAATGCAAACAATGTCTCTCCCATTTTTTGTACCTCCTGCCCACATTGTACTTATATGAACAACTATCTTCATCTTGTTATGAAGACTTATCCTCCGATCCTACAATAACAGGATTATCATCACATTTCTCTTATCTCTCCCATATAATGTCACCAGCAAACCATACCTGATATGACGTATATGTACGCGGATTTATGGAAATTGGTTGGTGATTAAGTTGGATTCGTACGTTAGCATGTATTGATTGGTCCCAGTGGCGGATCTAGGATTTGCATAAGGGGGGGGCTAAAAAAACGAAATGTAATATATAAAACCCATATAATTCATATATGTATATCGTACATAACGCAAACATTTAAAAACGAAATGAAAAAATGAGCAATGAAGTTAGTTATCAAACCAATTAGAAAGCTCAATCCTTCTGGGTTTCATTTTTGAAAACATAGTTATAACATGGTCAACATTAATACTTCGTGATTTATTGATGTAAGGAAGGGCAAGGCCATTAAGCCTTTCCTCACTCATAGTACTTCTTAAATAGCTCTTTAGTCTTTTTAAAGCTGAAAAGCTTCTTTCTGCAGTGGCTGTTGTAACGGGCAAAACCGAAAAAAGATGCAGTAAAATTCGAATGTTTGGGAAAAATAGTTCATCACATTCTTTTAAAGAATCCACTGCTGTAGAGGGCTTGTCTTGTTTAGATTTCCATGTATGCCTCCATATTTTTAATTCCGCAGCAAGCTGAATATCGGATCCTTGAAGATCTTGTTCGTAAAACAGAGCCGCTTCTATTATTTTCTCATCTTTATATTTTTCCAGATTACTAGGAATAATCCCTTCTATTGCCATAACAGCACAAGTCCCTTTGTCAAAACGATTTTCAATTTCGACAATAATATGATCAACGAAAGGAATAAATACAGTAATACGAAAATATTCTTCGTCGTTTGAAGCATTAATATTATTTCTTGTTGTCTGACGGTTACATATACGAGGCACAGCAATATTTGTCCCTAGATCTAAAGCTATTTCACAAGACTCTGTGTAAATTTTTTGGAACTCAGAATCAGCTTGCTCTCTTATATTCTTTATAATAGCTTTTATGTGTTGAACATAGGATAAAGCAGTTGAAAGGTCTTGTTTTGGATTTTGCAAAAATTTGCTCAATTTGAGTGTATACGACATACATAAAACTGCTGTTCCTAGTGCAATAATAAAATCACTCCTTCTAATTGCTGCACTTAATGAAGCTGCCTTACTTGATGTGTCAACATCACGGTCACTTTCTAGTTGTTCCAAGGCATTAGAAATTGGCAAAAAAAGTTCCTTGAAAGTTATGAGACTTTCATGCCTCTCAACCCAACGTGTAGTGCAAAGCGCTTTTAATCTGCGTTTTTTAACTTCGGTCAAATTTGCGTTTGATATTGCTTGTTCTAAAACGTTAACTCGCTTGGCTGAAGCTGTTAAGAAAGTGGATACTGCACTAACAATTCCAACCATGTTTCTAATTGCTGTTGTTTCACAGCTTTTTGATATAGATAGATTCAAACAGTGAGCAAAGCAATGAGTGTACAATGCTAACGGCTGTTCATTTTTTATAAGAGCTTGGGTGCCAATAAACTTGCCAGCCATATTACTTCCACCGTCATAACCTTGCCCCCTGAGATTTTCAAGTGATAAACCCATTCGTCTTAATTCTTTAGAAATTGCATCTTTAATGTCCTGTCCAGTGGTTGAAGACATCTCAATAAATCCCAAAAATTCTTCCTTTAATACACAAATTTCGGTATCTACATATCTTATACACAGAGTCATTTGTTCTTTCTTACTTATGTCTGTGGTTTCATCACAGAGAATAGAAAAGAATTTAAATTTTTTTATGTCATTTACGATGGATGTCTGTACAACCTCTCCAATTGAAGCAATGATTTCATTTTGTACGGTTTTACTAATCATTGTGCAATTTTTGCCAGTATTCTCAAAATGTGACTGTAGATCTACGTCTCCAGAGTCTAAGCGAAATAATAATAAATTTCTGAACACACCTTGGTTATTAGGAATAACTGTATTTTGGTACTCTTGAACCACCAACTCTCCATCATCTCTGTGGCCTCTTAGAGGTATATTGTTATGAGCACAAAATATTATACTTTTCACTATTGGTCTCAGTCTTTTTTTATTAGCCTCAATGATATCTAATTTTGCTTGGTCAAGCTGAAGAACAATATTTGCATTTTTGCCAGAATTAACTATAGAAAATCCGGCAGACTTCTGAACCGAAAATTTGTGATATTGACTGCTTTCATGATGATGCAGCATATCCAAAGCTTTTTTGAATTTTGTGAGCGGTTGATTCACCAACGTTTTAAGAGGCTGTAAATAAAAATTGGAATCAATCATCTAATCAGCTTATCAATCCTGGGACTAAATGAAACACTCTGTATATACTTCGTCCAAAAAGTGACAAGTAAAAACGGATTTGAGCCGAGCACGAGCCCTTAATCAAATCGCAATTAATTTTTTCATGAAGAATGTTTTATGTAGCGAAAACATTTATTGCAGAGTTTCCTTTCAACTTATTTATACCATACCTGACATCCAACTCCAGCACCCATTGGTGCAAATAGTACACACATTTTGCAGAAGGCTCCACTTTTGTATTGACTGTAAGATAGCCAGTTAAATCGTTCGAACCAACCGTAGCAAAATTTTCTAACCTGCTTGCCTTCTTGCTGACATGGAAATACATAGTTACGATCAGGTTTCCATGTTTCTTTCAGAAATTTCAGTCTTTCATTATCGTTCAACATTTTTTTATCTACCGCGAGTCCTATATCGTACGATAACAAATCTTGTTCCTGTAAATAATAAATAAATAAATACCTATTCAATTTCTTTCCTAGAGGCCTATCCTGCCTTCCGCCTACCTGCGAATTAGATCCAGATGTACTTGGAATAGCATCTGATTCCGTTTCCTTCAATCGTTTTGGCTCTCGCTCTTCGTCATCTAGCGGTTTCGGTTTATAGAAGTCAAGTAAAGTTCGTTTCATTTTTAGCGGCAAAATAAAATAAACTATACACGCAACGCAGCGATCGTAACGTGACTAGTCGAATATCGGCAGGCTACTTTGCGTCTGCGGAGCGGAGGCTGCGTCATAAAATGGAATAGAGGTGTTGCCGAATTGTGCTGATTTTCTTTAACTTGATGAAGAAAGTACTTGAACGATCTTGAACTGATAGGATAACCCAAAAAGAAGAAAATAGCATTTTTATGAATTCACAATATTCACATGAAAGTGAAAAGAGACTATTCTTTAAAACAACACAATCCAACTCGACCAAAAAAACGACTTTTATACTAGAATATAATTTTGTCAAAACTATTCCTCAACAGTAAATGCCTCCACAGTACTTTTTTCAGGGAGGAAGGAAAATCTCCCTTCCTGTATAAAGTAAGTAAGTAGTGCCTTCTCATGTCTCAATGGGAGGGGCTATAGCCCCTCTAGCCCCCCCCTGGATCCGCCACTGATTGGTCCCTATACAATCAATTGATATAGGAACATAACGTCAGATTTTCTATCGAATTAATGCACTGGCTCTATCATTCGATAACACTGAATTAGTGTGTGCTTATGGTCTCCAATCATATAGCAAGTCTGTATCGTGGGTAGAAGTTTTCGGCTGTTCGAACAGAAGGGTCGAGACTATGACGAGTTGATGTTTTGCTCAGACAATTTAATTCATGTATGAACAATACCACAAGCCGCGTGATTTTGTCATTATAACAGCGAAAAAGTTTGTCCAAACTTTTCCAGCGACAATAACGGAACCTAACTTTGAAAAGCATGACAACCAGCCATAAACGAATGTTTGATGAATTAAATTGTCTCACTCGATTACACTTTGGCTTTTTTTAGTTGAAGTATACTTGGCATTTATAATTCGAATTTTGTTGCCATTGGGTAATTCAACTCAAAAAACTGCCAGAAATAAATACTAGTCCTACGAACTCGTGATTTTTTCAGAGGCTGTTTTTCTCGTCAAATTGCCAGGCAGCAAAATTCTCATTGACGGATTACCGACAATTGGACGTGGTCAATTGGACGCACGAAAATTGGACGCGGATAATTGGACGCGGCGACAATTGGACGCGGCGACAATTGGACGCGGCGACAATTGGACGCGGCGACAATTGGACGCGACGAAAATTGGACGCGGCGACAATTGAGCGCATGCGAAAATAAAAATAATTTTATAATTCCAATGAAATTTATTGCATGGAATATGCAGGGCTCATATCTATAATATAACAAATACCTAACCTAACCTAACCTAACCTGTCAGGTATTTGTTATAATTATGGATATAACCCCATCACTATTTCATATTTTATACAATGAATTTCATTGGAATTACAAAATTATTTTTATTTACGCATGCGTCCAATTGTCGCCGCGTCGAATTGTCGCCGCGTCGAATTGTCGCCGCGTCTAATTGACGCCGCGTCTAATTGTCGCCGCGTCCAATTGTCGCCGCGTCCAATTGTCGCCGCGTCCAATTGTCGCCGCGTCCAATTGACGCGACACCCTCATTGATACATGTCAAGTTTACTTCGACAGAAAAAAAAACTCTTGTTAAATTATAAGTGAAAATCAGAGATTGAAGCTAAAACATATGAGAGCACAGTGGATATGGCCTCATGTCGTGACTGGTTCACTAGCAGAAGTGTTGAACATCCCAGGGTTTCGGTACAAGGAAATCCCAATAAGGATATAAATTCCATGAGTAAAAAAGGTTTCCATGTTTCTCTATTCTCTGGGATTTTCTCTCCTTGTTTCTAATAAATGAGTATTATCTCGATATACAAGGTGTAACATACGTATACGTTTACATATTCAAGTAACATATCCCTGAGAAAATTTTGAGAATGAAGGTCCATATGAACTTGTGTCCAGAAATTTATCATTTCGGAGGTACAAGGTGTTGGAATACAGAAAACAAATCATTTTTCAATTGACATTCCATAGAGAGAACTTGTTTATTTTGACTTGAACTACTCCACTTAGTGCCAAGAGTGACATATGCATCGATTCAGAAAATTGTAAATATCTCGAGAACGATCACCTCCAGCGTTTTTGAGGAAGTCCGCTTTTCTCTACTTGGAAAAGATGTGGAAATGGGGTTTTCATTGAAGAGTACGAAAAGTTCGAAAATGTAAGGGGTAATTTGTGATAAATAATGACAGCATACGCAGTGCCGCAATAGTTGTTGTTTAAAAGCGAAAACAAAAATTCAATTTCACCACCCTGTATCTCCGAAACGGAGCATTTCTGGAAACATGTTTATACAGTGTGACCCATTTTTAATGGAAACACCCCTATATCTCACGTAATCGTTGGTTGAGGATTCTGAAATTTGCTGGAGCGAGAGATATACCAAAACTGCACTCTATGACCAAGTGGGGTCATCTTCAGTGATATACACTGCTCACCAACAGCCTTGGAACCACTCCAATTACTGGAATATCATATTAGGAGTCAAAATAGGTTGAAAATCACTTCGGATTCGGAATCAGGACGCCGAATTCACTGACTATGTATATTTTTCTTGGAAAATTTTCGGTTCTGAAAAATTAAATTTCGTCGAAATTTTTACGGAAGTACCCCCGTATATCACGTAATTATTGAGGTATGATTCTGAAATTTGCAGGAGGAAGGGAAAGTCCAAAGATAAAGTCAATTACGTAAGATACGGGGGTGCTTCCGTAAAAAGTGCGACAAAATTCAATTTTTCAGAACTGAACATTTTCCAGGAAAAATATGAATAGATAGTGAATTGGGCGTCCTGATTCCGAATCCGAAGTGATTTTCAACCTATTTTGGCTCCTAATATCATTTTCTGGAAATCGGGTTGGTCCCATGGCTGTTGGCGAGCAGTGTATATCACTGAAGATGACCCCACTTGGTCATAGAGTGCATTTTTGGTATATCTTTCGCTCCAGGAAATCTCAGGATCCTTACCCAACGATTACGTAAGATACAGGGGTGTTTCCATTAGAAGTGGGTCACACTGTATATACTTTGTTTACTCAAAACTGTCTCAGGAATACGTCACTTGAATATTCAAACGTACTTTTGTTACACCTTGTATACGTGTAGTAATGACAGATTATTCGTTCCGAAATGTCTGATGGAAAAAGTTTTGAACGCAGTGACATCATGGGGCAAATCATCTGACTGTTCTTATTACACGCCTATTGAAATAATACCCATATTTTTATTTTATAAAATAATATACAGGGTGTATATTTGTAAATTCAGCTTGGGCTTTTGGTAACAGATCTGTCCAATTATTTGAGTTTTAAAAGACTGCAGTATCATCGGCAAAGCTCACAACCTGACCTTCAATATTTTGGAAGAACAGGTTGTTTTGAGTATAATATGTTGAATAAGTATATACAGGGTGTCCGCTGAAAGAAGGTCAATCCATTAACCATATATTCCTTAAACAAAAACAATATGAGCTTCTAAATACCATTTTTCATTTCAGCTCTCCATATTCGATATACAGGGTGTCAAAGTTAGAAATTAAAAACATTTTTTTTTTTAATTACTCGCTTATTTGACAAGATACTAATCTCAAAATTGGTACATTACTTCAGCACAAAGAGTTACATCGTGTGAGGAAAACAAAACAGGAAATAAATGTCAATTTTTTTTTGTAAAAATTATTCTACTACATTCGCTCTGAGCACTCGGTATTTCCATATTTACCTTTTCGTAGGTAAAAAGTTGTGCCCCTTTCCAATTCCGACGAAATAAATAGGAGTATGTGAACATTATGAGATCACCGTAAGCCGCATATAGGAATTCAATAATTACCAGTGCTTTTCGAATTATCTCGAAAACAAATAATTTTATCGATATTGTAATGAAGTGTTTTCGACCAGCTCCATTACTAGACTGGTTTTAATTAATATCTAAGTAACCTGAGAATGATTCTACTTGAATTTCACTTGTTCGAAAGCTCAAAACCTGAAAACCTGAGAGAGCTAAGTATTGCATTGATTCCTGACTTTCTAAAGCTTTTCCTGATAATAAACTCTGATGAACATCATTAAAACCCTAAAGGCTACAATATTTTTCAACCCTTTGCTTATGATATGAAATTAGATGAATTATCTATCTGTTGAAATTCTTTATGTTTGACTGCTCATAAATTTGTTGTTATTGAATATTTTCCAGCCAAATTCATTCAGTAACATAAGCAAAGGTGATTGATCCTGCTCCTGTGCCCATTTAGGGTTGAATATTATTTTTTCCGCGTTTTGTGTAGAAGGTGCACATGTGCTTTTCAAGGACAGATTTAGTGGCCATGGCCATGAGCCATGAAAAGGTGGGAGTTTTGACCAATGAGATTCCAGATTCACTTGTCCTTGTGCCAGTGCATGAATACTGAAGACAGCTAAGGATTCGCATCTCTCTCTCTAAGCTCTTCTCTACAAGTCTACACTACCTGATCTACGTTGCTCTTCAAGCTCCTGAGTCTCTTGCTGATCTCTTAGTGCTCTCATAGTTCATTCAAAACCAGTGTCAAGTATTATTGTATAGTGATTTCGTGTTATACATGTAAGTTTGTATAGTTTTTTACCATTGTTATCCATCCTGTTCATAGATTCATTTCATTCCTGTTGTTTTGCATACCGATACTCACCCGACCTGTGTAAAGAATCCAGAACTTTGAATGGGGAAGACCACTGATTTTTTAAAACGACATTATCGTGAACTCTATACTGAAAAACTACCAGTGAATTAATTTTGAATTTTTTCATTCATGCTAAGACGATGAAAAAAATAAATTAGTGTATGTCCATTTCAAAACACACAATTCCTGCGCCATTTGAAATTTCATCAATTCATTGGTGTGACTGGTGCGACGTCTTAGTCCCAACACGCCTATTGTCCTTGAACTGACCAATTACACTGCAACACTGCAGAATGGCGAGGTATCAGAGAGAGATAGCCATAGTTCGGGACTAATACG